GGCAAGCAATTTTTTAATAGCTTGTCGGGACAGTGAATGAAAAAAAAAAAAAAACATTTAAAAATGAATTAATTATGAAATATAATATAATATAATAAAATATAATATAATATAATATAATATCTGTGCCTGTTTTTTAGCGCAATATAATAATTGTATATAATGTTTATTACAATATTTATTTAAAAGTATTATATTATGTTATATTATATTAATTATATTATTTTATATTATATTATATTATATTATATTATATTATATTATTATATCGTTTTTTTATATATATAATTTCCAGATAGTTAAGCTGTGTGCTGCAGCATTTACAAATGGATCATCTAAACAACCTTCTTCAGTATAAAGAAAGTCTAAGGAGTGATCACAGTGTTACAAGCTAGTTTCGTCTTATGTTATTCCCACAACACACACACACACACACGCGCGTTTTGCTGCAAAGGTGTGTGCTAAATCGGTAGCTAACATCAACAGGAAAACTGCCATCATTGCTGCAAAGAGAAACAGAGAGAAGAAAGAGGGAGATGGATAAAGAGAATGAAGCAGCTCACAGCATGTTAAAAGGAGCAGGCGGACCCTGAGCTTGCGTCTGAGAGTGCACACACACACACACTCAGTCTCTCCTGCTGTCCCTTGGAGCGTACCACATGCGCTCGCTCCAGCCGGTAATTAATAGACAGAGTGTGTGAAGAGTCTTCGCTCGCTGAAAGAGAAACAGGAAGAGGGGGAGATGCCGTGAAGGACGTGTATCACAATTTCACCGTAATCTGGTGCAGATCTGCTTCCCACGAGCCTCCGTGCTGCATTGAAGGAAAGAAGTGAGAGAAGAGAAAGAGAGGAGGAAGACAGGAGGAGTACGCTCTGAGTGCATGCACTTGGATGCTGGTTGTTGGCTGCGGCGAGCGAGCATGCGTGTGGGCAGGATGATATTTGAAGCTCCCTGGTGCAAGGGGCAGCTTTGCGACTGAGCGTGTGTGCTAGCAGCCACCTGAGGCTCGCAGATCATGTGAGGAGGAACTAACTTCAACATAAGGAAGAAAAAGTGTAAAGAACGTGTGAAAATATGAAGCGAGGAGCCGAGTTTTCTGTGTTCCAGGGCGGCAGCCCGCCTCGCAAGTCATCGCAGCCTCTCCCAGACAACTTAAACCTCCGCAAGCAACGTTCTCTCGGCAATCTCGTGCTGCTTAGCGATGGGGAGCAGAGGGTTTATGCCTTTGAGCTGAATGCACCTTGCCCACCTTCGACATCCTCCGGGACATCGTCTTCGTCGCCCTCACCCCAACATGGCCGAGGTAGCACCCGAAGACATCCGGACAGCAGCACCCGAGCTCGCTCACTCTCGCTGTCCCTCACCAAGGTGCTTTCCCAATCCGAACACTCCCTTATTCCTGTGCCCTGGGGTCGTAAGTCCAGCCGGATGGCTCCTGCGCTTCAGCACCAGCGGCCCGAGATGGTGGAGAAAGCGGGCAGCTGTCGTAAATCGGATGAGGACCCCGAGGCAGGTCCGGCGAGCACCGGAGGAGACTGGGAGCTTGAGAGTGCCAGGGAGGAGAAGGCACAGCTGGATAAAGAGGTTATACTCACTATGTTGGGAGACCTGGAGCAGGTTTTGAACCCACAGACACGCCGTAAGTGCAATGCCGCATAGCGAGTCACTCAAACACATCAGTAACATACTTTAAGAGTCTTTGATTGTGCATTGCTGTTGTAATGGTCAGTTTTATCCTTGAACTCTGGGTCGAGTGTGTGTGTAACTGCATTAGAAACTGTTCTGGGAGGTGTCTGGGTGAATTATGGTTCTCTGATTGTGCTATAGGAGAACATTTAGAAGCCAGATTCACCTGCCGGCTATTGAAGTGCTGCCGTGCTGTCTGCTGCTCTGATCAATAGCTCTATTTACCCTTCCGTCAGTGTGATCCATGCTTTTATTCCTAGTCCATCTAGTGTTAACCGTCAACCACGGGGCTGTTTGTTCACAAGCCCAACACCTCATCTTATTGAAGTAATTCAGTTCCCTGTAGTTCAGACTTATAGCAGCATTCTTTCGCACAGCTTTTGAGTTGACTAAGGCAATGCTTTAAAGGCTATTTCATATTCTTTTTAGTGGTCAATTTAAATTTTTGCTAACAATTTAACTTTTGCTATATTTAAATGAATAGTTCAACAAAAAATTAACATTCTGTCTAAAAATCACGTCGTTCCAAACCTTTGTGCATTTCTTCTTCTGTGAAACACAAATGAAGATGTTTTGAAACAAATTCAGGCAAAACAGTGAAAGTCAGTAGGGTCTGATGTTGTTTGGACCCCAGCATTCTTCAAAATATTCTCAGAAAAGAGAAATACATAAAAATTTTGAAAGACACAAGGGTGAATATTTGAACATTCAGTTTTGGCTAAACTCTCAGTTTTGGGTAATCTCTATAAAGTTAGAGGTTTGTTCAAATCTCTATGCTTACGAAACTCATTGTAATGTAAAGGGATTTATCTCATTATGCACAGTATTTGCTATGGAGATGAATCATGCAGCTTTTTTAGGGAAAATGTGCTATTACGCAACCTGACTAATGATTTTAGCCTTACATATGACAAAAAGACAAAAAAAAAGTCATAGTGATCACAATATCACTAGCGAATAACAAAAAGCAACCATTTGGAACACCTTAACACCCACTCATAACGCATTAGCAACTGTATAGCAACACCCTATCAACCAATCAGTACATCCTAGCATCATGGCAGTCAAATTTGAACAACATTTTTTCTCTAAAGTCAACTTTTAATATTAGTCAAGGTTTATTGGACCAAAATTAGTCATTGTTTACTTTTACATGACCATTTTCCAACCTCTCTCTGAAACTGAATTAAGCAGGTTTTTGCTACTGTACCTTTAACGCTATATGTAAATGACTAAGCTCTTTACTATGAGGGCGCACAACCCTGCTGTGTCACACATTTGCATCTCCATTTGAAATGAGTGATACAGTACAACACAGCTCTGAATTATGCAAAACACAAACCTCACAATGCATTCGATTCCGGTTTGAAGCTGTAGACTCTGAGGTTAGCTTTCACACTGCCACAATGAGGTTAAATCAGTGCAAACTCTCAGCTACCATCTGATCCGACAGAGCCAGCGGTGTGTCCTCACGCCCTCCTTTGCTGCTGACAGGCTCAAGTGGTGCTTGCAGAAATGTGTCTGCTCACCCAGAGGGCAACAAGTGCACATTATGCCACCCAGAGCCCTCTTGATCATCAAGTATCTGAGTCAAAAGCTCTTGTATGGTTTGTTCGTATCCAGCATTCACATGCAATGAGAATAGCCATGCACCTGCTATGTGTGTGTGGGTTTGAAATGGCCCTGTAGCTCTATATGTGAGATGCAGGGGAGAGAAATTACTTTATTTGCCTTACACAGTTTGACTGAATGGTCCATTACAATCCCATAAAACAACGCCTTCTGGGTAAAAGAGAGCCTGATACATTCACAGTGACTCAATATGGCCCTCCAGGGTCATGCCTTTCTGTGCTGTAGGGATCAGGATGGTCAACTAGTTAAATTAGTGAGGTTGAGTGTTTTTTGTTTTTTTCATTAGGTTGTCGTTTTAGCTTTAATATTTGATGCATTGTGCTTTAAAAGGGATGGATTTTGAGAACGAGAATTTCAGCATGGTAGCTGAAAGTGTCATTTTAGAGACTGATCTTACTTGGCTAAAGCCATTCTCTTTACTTCATCGAATTGGTGGTTAGTCATGACACTCTTGCACTTGGTTGTGCTCTTCATCAATCTTCTACCCTCTCAGACGGATCTTCCACTCAGATGGCTTGTGTCAGGCTCACTTGCATGATTGCTTCTGTTTGTCGGGTTGTCTTCCACAAAACAGACTGATTTGACTGTTTATCTGTATATAGGAGAGTGTCCAGTTCTTTCAGCAGCAGCACAGATGTGCTAACACACAATATGGGGTGGGGTTTACTTACACAAGAGAAAAATAAGCTTTGACCTTGAGGTGTTTGACAAGTGAGAAGTGCTGTTGGAAACGGTTGTGGGTGTAAATCTTAATGCGATTCATCATGGTTCACATGGGAATCACCTTTTATATTTCTTATTTATATATTTTTTTCACTTTTGCTAAAGAATTCTAAAATGTTTTAAGGTCACATTTAAAATAAATTGTAAAATTAACGTGTGTTGTGAAAGTAATTATGATCAGTTTTGATGTACTGTAACGCTCATTTTAAATGCCCACATACTGTATGACAGTTTCACTGCAACATAATCATACAAGCAACACACTTAAGATCAGTGCACAGATATACTGTTTTTTTCCCTGTTTTTTAATTAGTGTTTTAGATCATATGCAATTGGCATTGTATTTTACAGTCAGGAGGTGTGCATTAGGGCCAGACAGGATTGGATCAAAGAAGCAGGTCTCTGATGGGATGCGGGAGCCCTGCAGACCTGCTGTTAGACCTCCTACTGCCATCATCAGCCTGTATGAGTGTCTCTATGAGTGTCTTTGTTCAATGAGTTTAATGCAGTGGAAAAGAAGCACTTAACTGAACCTCAGCAGATCCAGAGCCTGTGTTCTAGTGGTGTTGTATTCAACTCTTTCAAGCGAACAAATCATATTCAAATCAAGATTCTTGCCTTTGATGTATTTTTCTGGCTTCGTAAGGGTGTTTTTGCAATTTATTATTAGTTAATTTAGTTAATAGTTTAGTTAATTAGTTAATAGTTTACTTATTATATGTATTTATTTTATTAAATAATAGAGAATGGAGAAAAAAAGATAGATATACTTAGTTGTCATTTGTGGGGAAACAGCATTAAAACAGCATTTCTGGAGTCTACTTTGTATCTCAAAGTAGATTTTTAAATTAATCAGTTGAGTGAATGACTCAATGACTCATTAGTCACTAACAATAATGCTGTAACCTGCAGAAAAGATTCACTAAATAAATCTTTAATGGGGGAACAGATCCAAATAATTTATATCACTGACAGGAGATAATCATTTATTAAAACCCCAATTCCCAAACACCCAATTACTGCAGAAAATACATAAGCATAACCACATTCGTCCAGCCTATTTCAGCCCCTCTCTCTATCTCACTCACAATGTGAACGTAATTTCACAGGAAAGTGGTTCAGAGGCAGTGCACTGACATGACAGATGGTGTTGGCCCTAACTCTCTCTCTTTCCCTCACTGGGAGCATCTTCTTTGGAAATCAATGCTTGGCCTTTTTGTTTCTTTCATAGCACATTGCTTCTCAAAGGAGCCAAAAAGGTGTTAGACGCTTCCTCACACTCCCTCGCCAGTAAAGCTAACCAGTAAAGAGCCCATGAATCAAAAAAACTCTTGGCGTTCATAATGGTCAGATATATATTGTTGACACACGGCTGTCAGGCTGTGCTCGCAATGAATGAAGATAAGGAAAAGCTATTCTTCACTGTGACAAACTAAACAGAGTAATTCAGTAGAATATGTTTTATAACGTATGACAGATGGAAAGAAGATAGTGATCCAGCCAGGACTCTTTTAATTGTACGGAAGAGCTTCATTTTTCACCTTTGTGACACTGTTTGGTTGTCAGGAAGTTAAAGTGTGGTTTCCTGAGGCATTGGCCCACTATGTGGATTCCATCATACATACGGTGGAGTCTCGCAGGAGCTTTTCAAATTGACTTCCATTCATCTCCAAACATACCATATGGTATATATTCTGAAAGAGTATAGAATGTAAGTGTTCTTTCAGAAGCTTCTTTGCACACCTATTCACCGCTGTGTTGGGAATGCCACAAAGCTCTATTGATCTGAGCCTGTGTTCATGTTTTGAAAATTCTCTGAGCTTAAATATTGTATTGATTGATGACATAGAAAAAAAAATCCTTCTTCAAGGTCAAGACAGTGTCTCGAATAAAATAAAAATCCCTCTAGACTTAAAGTCAAGAATTTCAAGAGGATTTATCAAATGTTGACTTATAAAAACCATGTAGTTACTATATAGGCAGCTTACGTTAGTGTTAATTTTTTCAGCCTTTTTTAAAATGTTGTCTTAGTCTTAGGGCCAGATTTACTAAACAGGGCAAATTAGCATTAGAGCGCAATTCCATAAAAGTGCCGGTGGGAGGGGACAATTCTGCGGGTGATTTACTGACAATGTGCACATTTAAGAACACAGACACAACATCTCATTTCCATAATGAGCAGCACAATCTACGAAGAGCAGCGCAAATTACCGCCTGCTTTAAGACAAGCTTTTTTGGGGGCATTAAATAACGCCGCAAATACCAGTGAATTGGCGAGCGCAAATCTTAGTAAATATTAATTTCAATACTCTCCTCCCATAAATTTACAGATCGAAAGGGAAACTCCTACAAATGCATATTAAATAAGGTGAGTCACAAAAATAACTGTGTCCACATCTTTTCAGCACTAATTTCCCACTGTGTGTCTTTAGTAAAGCCTGACAGTAGTTTTTTAACACCACATGAGGTTTTGCGCTGGTGCAAGCTGATAGTAAATCTGACCCTTAGTCTTTTAAATTAGACTTAGTCTTATTCCTGTCAGATGTACGTTTATTATCATATTTAGTCAACCTTGTCCCGTTGTTGCTTAGTCAAGTTTTAGTCGACTAAATGTCTG